AAAGAAGAATGAAAGAAGAATGAAAGGAGAAAGAAAGAAGAAAGAAAGAAAGAAGAAAGAAAGAAGAAAGAAAGAAGAAAGAAAGGAGAAAGAAAGAAGAAAGAAAGAAGAAAGAAAGGAGAAAGAAAGGAGAAAGAAAGGAGAAAGAAAGAAGAAAGAAAGAAGAAAGAAAGAAGAAAGAAAGAAGAAAGAAAGAAGAAAGAAGAAAGAAAGAAGAAAGAAAGAAGAAAGAAAGAAAGAAGAAAGAAAGAAGAAAGAAAGGAGAAAGAAAGGAGAAAGAAAGAAGAGGAAAGGAATTTTATATATGTGTGTTCCATTTACATACCTGATAGGTTTTCCTCTAATTTCACTCATAATGTTGCCCTCTCCTCCCAAGTACTCATAACATAAGCTCAGGAAATTGTATATTACAAAGGCTGAAACAAAATTACAATGATTTTATGAAATTTTCAGCACATTCAAATTGAACTCATTCAATTTATGAAATAAATAAATATTAATCATAATCAATAAAAATCATATTATTAATAGTGTAAAGTTGATTATATCCCTCCCTCCTAGAAGAGATGTACTGAACCAAGTTTGGAGGTTCCTTTTTTGGAGTCATTTAAGAATAGAAATTTCAAGTTTTTCAGTATTTGCAAACTAAATCTTTGCACAATATAGAATTATGATACAAATTATTATGTTGGTATTTTATGAGGGTTTCTTTCCAACCATCATTACCACCACGTGTTGCTCCAACCATTATGCAAGCTGTTAAGTCGATCTGTGAAGAAGTTGAAAAGGGGTTGCAGAATAAGATAGGGAAAGTGCCCTCTGTGAATAAAATTTTTTAATATTGAAAATAATACTTGATAGGTGAAGAAAACTATTTTCTGCAGGATTTGAATCAATTTGCCCGAAGTAATTAACACAATATGAAAAAAGCTTGTTTCTTAGCTTCTTCTTATGTTAGTTTAATTTAACTACTTTGCGCCTATACATTTTGAACTTCAATAATTCTTGCGATTTTCTATAGATGATAAGGATGTTTTGAGGTTTTTTCAGGCGTTAAGATCAGATTTTGACCTTTACAATATTCAAAAAAGCAGGGAAAATTAAAAGAAGAAAAAAACTTTTATCCTTCATTTTTTAAGAATATCTCCTGCTTTGACACGCATCATAAAAGGAGCTGAATACAAATTGTAGCCCTGTAAATTCTCTTCTGTTTCCCAAACCTTCAGCTTTTTATCTTATAATTTGCACCCATCTGCTCAATATAAATGAAACATTTTATTATTTATTTTCTTAAAATAGGGGTTGTTTGATTAATTTTCAGAGTTTTCCGTAGAAAGTATTTTGCATATGTAAATTATAAATTACCGTATGTCTGTTGCAATTATGCACGTCAATGTATACATATTATGTACTTTTAAACTTTCAAGGGAGGTTCTTCCCTCCCCTGAAGAAGCGAGAACTCATAAGTAACAGAAGGCCCCCAATGATTTTTCGCAAAAAATGGCAATTTCTAAAATACAAAAATCGTCGTTTTAGAAGTGAAAATAGCTTCCCCCAAAAACCCAAGTTTCCGACAACCCATCTGCAGAGTGGTAGAACCATAACAAAAAGAAATACAGAAGTCCAGATAGGTCTCATTTTGTAGCTTACGGTAGAGAACTTCAGAATTCTCAGAATAGCTGTTCTGAAGAGTACATTCGTTTGGTGTATTATCAAGTAGCTTGTTAAAGAAAATTTAAACATTTGCAAGCTGCTAGTCTAGAACACACTGTTTCATTCTTAATGTATTTATACTAGAATATGTATAATTTTGTAGTTGAAATTATCCTAAAAGAGTGGATTCTCCAATTAGCATTATTGTGTTACACATAAAATTATCTATGAAAACCATAATTATCCGACAGAATGGCAACACTGACAATTAACCTTTCCCTTCTGAGTGATCCAAGCCCAGCACAGCTTACTGTAAATAACAGCATACGAGCAATTCATCTCGTGATTTGTGTCATCCATCGCCGTGAGCCGGCTCGTTGGCATAAATTTATCCGTCTTCACAGCTACCCTGCGAATCCCTGCAGGCGCTCTCTTCACACGGCGGCGGCGATTTCGAACGAAAGGTGCAGACGTCGACGGGCGAGATACTGGTTTTCTTGTTAATCGCGCTTTTTATTCGTGTTTAGGAAATGAGTTGCTGCTTCGAGTAATATCAACAAGTTTGTTTTCATAAATTGTTAGTTTTCGGCATTGGTCTTGCAAATGAGCCAGTTTTTGATACTGTTATTCTCACATTCAAAAATACCAAACACCAAATAGCTTGCCTTCACATTCAAGATACACTAGCATAGAAAATAATTCAGGAAATAAAGTTCAAGGCTCTATAAAAGACATCTCATTATTAAACAAACTCAAGAACCATTATTACAATTAATACATATTTTATTTTAATGTTTGGGACAGCTGACTTTTGTTATTATTATGTCCTATAACCAAATCGTCAATTAGCATTTAAAAATATTCGAAGACGCATTATTTATTCAATGTAAATAATTCATTGACAGAAATACTTTGAACAATTGTATGTTGCCTCATAAAATTAGGTTTAAATATTGCTAGTCTTATAATTCATCCACCACATTCAGTCTTATAATAAGGATCCACGATATGACGGAAAGCAGTAGCCTATTCTTAACATATTGCCTTTTTATAATTTTTGTTGATTGTATGACTGTAAGATTAATAGTATTATACTGACTAAGGCAATACCCATTGTTTTATCAGATAAGTGAGTCATTTAATCTACTGGAAGAAGAATTATTGTATGAAATATAACGGCCCATTTAATCGACTCCAAACACGGAAGTAAGCATACCAAGGCGATTGGATTATATACAATATTTTGAAAATATTTTTTAAATTGCACAGGTTATAATTTAATTTTCAATATTAGTAAGAAACACAGCGCCGGATTTAGGTACTGTGACCGTGACCCTCAAGTACAAAATCGTATTGTCCCCCAGAAAAAAATACTCCAGATTTAGTTAAAAACAAGTTTTGTATACACACTTTTCGTACATTATTTTTAAGTTAAATTTTAGTTCATTCAATTAACAATTATTTTAAAGACCTAAACATATTTTGTCATTCTCGGTTTTTTATGAATTCAGTTTCCAGGCACAGGGGCCCCATGGACAGGGAACCTTGAGCAATTGCTTATTTTGCTGGAAGGCAAATCCGGCCCTGGGAGATCCTGTAGGTTGGTTATTCTTAGGGCCCTTAATCGAGTTCTGATCTCTAGTATCCCCTGCGAGTCCTCCTAGCAAAGCATTACGGCAAATCTTTGAACTCGCGTAGTATCTTTTCTAGGGAGTGTTATTTTCATATCGACTGGCCATTGAGAGTACTTTCTCTTAATTAACAGGCAAATTTGAACAATGCGGAGGTCCCTTGCCTTGCTGTTGACCTTTGCTCACCATCTACACCTCGTGCCAATAATTACAGCGTTTATAGTAAATAACGTAAAATAGATCAAGTAGTTGCCACAATTCAACCGACGCCATCGTTTGCCGAACGGGCCCCGCTGGGGCATCGTCTTTACCTTCGTAGCAGTCTCTGACCGTGAAGAAGTAGACGTAGTAGCTTTCGCTGTTGAAGAACAGCAGCGACACCCACGAGTAGAAGGCGTAGATGGGCACGATGAACAGAATGCGGACGATCCACCGCTGCTCCGCGGGGTTCGTGTACCACCGCAGGTGCTGGTAGATCTGCCAACACAAGAAAACAACTACAGTCATTACACAGGCGCTTCCTCGCGAACACAAGTATGAAAGTAATGAGATGAGCTTGGAACTGCTGAAATGAAATTTCTTAGCCCACTGGCAGACTACTCAACACTAGACCGTAAACGAAACTAAGACATTAGAGATGAACGTAAAATCTTTAACCTCTTCAAAAACGGACATGAGAAGGAATTGGCACGGTCAAATCATGAGAATGCCGAGGATCGAATACCGAAAACATAACTACAACCATAACGGAGGGAGTCGGAGGCGGGCCAATAAGGTGGTGGAAGGAAACTCATGAAAGATCGGGCAAATATGTTTAATCTGCGCTGTTGATGTTAACGGCAAATGTAAGTACATCTCATTTATGCCCATTGCTCCGTGACAACTTCAGCGTCTCTCTCGGTGGGGTGAGCACGCAAAGGGTCGATAGCAAAGGTCGTATCATTCCGCTCGAGTTATCGATAGGATGTTTGAAGCATGTACACGCACGGTGACCCGCAGAAACATGTGCCCTATTTATCCATGTTAATCGCCGGGATCAGACGATGTTTGCGTTCTGGGCCGGATGAACTCTTGAGGTGTCTCGGAGCAGTCTTCGAACGGGGGCCCTTATAGTACGTTTACTCTATTGTTTTACCTGATTTTTGCTTAGGGATGGTGAAACATTTTTATATTGATTTTCTAAATAGAAAGTGATGTCAAATTATCTTTGTTAAGAAACATTTTGTGTGTATCTTAACATTGTTTGAGACCATTTTAGGTAGTACTTAATTCGTATAATGAGATTCTTTAGCAAACGAATGCATTTTTTCGGTGTCTTCCTACAACAAAAAAATTAAAGAGATTTTTACTTTCAAATGGAATGTTGTTCTTTTATTATAGTCATGTACATTTTTTTGAAAATGTTAGTAGTTTTCGCGCAATATTGCGAGCAATATATGCAATTTTAAAAAATAACAAAGTTTTCTCAAAAACTGTTCCAAATTTTTCTTTAAACTTTTTGTATGAATGCTACTGTATGCTATGATAGAAATGCTATTTTGCTCTATTATTTTGTTCTTTAAAAAATTACAGAAATGTTTTTATTATTAGCTTCTCTTTGGATAGTTTTAAACGCACCATTTAAGATGAAATAAACGTCATTTTTCTAAATTCTTTTGTTTAAATAAAATGCAAAAGTATTTTTTGAAATATCTCCCACGTTAGACCAGACCTGAGGCATGACTTGTATTAATTTCATTGGTCCTTAGTATGCAGTGACACCAGTCCCGTACAGTATTCATTGTTGTCGATCTCATTTTTCGCACAACCATCAGCCCAAAGAATCGCAATTTCAGGGCCTGATAAATAGTAGTGTCAATACGAGGTGCATTGCAAACTAAAATCGTTTGGGGACGGACCCAGAAAAGTTATATAATTGGGACGACTTTTTAGGATTATACCAGGTAAAATGTGTCGTGTCATGCGGGGGCGACTCGTAGCTTCAATGCTTTTCACAAAAAATATGACGGGGTGGCCTACGTTCCATCAACAAACCCAACCGTCCACAGGCCCTATGTATACTTGAAAGCAGTGAAGAACTCCCCACGATTCAACGAGACATGTGGCACTCACCCGGACACGAAAGGCAATACTTTAGTTTATATAACTTTTTTGCGCTAATTAATGTTTGTACAATTATAAAAATATTTACTTCTTTGTGAATTTTCTGCTTCAACGCAAATTGACATAAAAAGTTTGTATAATTTAATAAACGTCTCTTTATGAAATACCAACGCGCTTGCTGCGCCCAATTCGCAGCTTTCTCCTGAAGTTTGCTCACCCGGTTTTCAGCTCTTCCGCGCCCGGTCTGGGATCTTTTCATCGACTCACGAAGGTAGTCGCGTGCGCTAAGGTCTGAGGAACATTCGCGCGTCCTCCATGGGGTCGTCGGGGCCGTCCTCCTGACGGCCCCGAATACCCAAATCTTAGAGATATTTACTAACATTACGAAACTATACGCCCCCTCAGCGCTCCGCTGGATACCCATAGTGTGCCACTGCCCGTGCTTTTGCATTAAATGCGCCTCGGTAGCAAAGTTACCCACACGGCCTGCACCACACGCGCGCACCGCACTCTTAGCCCTGCTTTGCAGTTAACGCAAGAAAATTATGGCGCGACGATGACTCAGGAGTCTATAATATTAGACAAATATAATACATAATGCATATTATATTAACTACATATACTGCAAGAGAGAAATTGGTTGTACACATATAAATTTTTGGATCAGGACACTTCACCCTATCCGGCTTTATAGTAACTTGTCCTCTCCTACATCCACGTCTCTCTAGTATGCGGGTGCCCGGGACAAGCCCCCCCCCCTTGCTTTTACAATATCCATTCTACACAAGTATCATTTGAGGATCCACCTTCTCATTATTGACTTTCGTAGTTATACACCCATCTTCGCCTTGTTGTGATTGGCGAGAGTTGACGTGGTAACGAACTACGTGAAGCCATCTCACCAAAGCTAGCTGATATCGGATGGTAGGTATTTGAAGGGGATGGACTCAGGTTTATTGGGTGAAGCAGGGAGGCTGGGTCTATCCAACAACGCTTCAACACAAGAGGAACCAGCAACGCCACCGGCCGAGTGCATGCCTCACACATATGCTCCTGAGCCACCCGGACGCGCCTGGAATGAAAGGATGCGTTGAAAAGGTGAGACTTCGTACGAGGGGAAAGCCAACCATGTCGCAATCCATACCTCAGCGGGATTCGAACCCGTGACCCCACGTACCGCGCTCACTACTGCACGAAGCTTCATTACCACACAGCTTTACGCAACCCGACTATCTAGGCCAGAAAAGTTTTGGTTTTAGTGCAAAGGCGCTACAACTGCACGTGCGTAGCATCGAGTCGCAACCCAGGTATTGATAAAACCGACATTTCCATGCTCTTAATTTTATATTAAATGTCTTTAGCACGCAGCAGACATCGCGAAGAACCATGACATTGCAGGCATGATGAACCTTGATGATTGAAGTCTCTTTAGCTGCACATATTTTCCTTGATGTGGATCTCGCATCCGCAAAATAACGCATTCATGTTGATTACATACAAAATTGACGATTGTTATATCTACAATGTTATCATATCTGCAATTTTGTCAAGTATTATTTATTTTTCCAATCAAGTACTCTGATTCCTTGGCAAATTTTCCATGATATCTTAAGCCATTCTAAATACAAATATTGTACATCATATATTTTCATCAACTTCATCAAGAGTTATAAAATTATTTTGTGAAGTCAAATGTACTCATACCAACAGGGCTGCTAACAAAGTTAACGGTGTCAAGAATTGAGATATTTATAAGCAGCATGCACCAGCTTTATATTGAACGATTCAGATTTTTTTGAATTATACATATTACAATAAGGAAATTTGTTCGTTAAATCAATGTAATTTTACAACTTGCTGCATTTTTTCAATTTATTATCCCGTAATAATTTTCGGTAGAGCGAAATCTATTCCGCGTTCTCACGCATATATTAATGCAATGTATTCCAGTAAATTCAACGTTGGAAGAAAAGCCTTGCGCCACCGTAAGTATAATTAGTATACGGACGACTCGTCGCTTTTCGGACTCCCTCCTATCGAATGCTGGCTCTCGTGCAGAACTGAAACCATCCCGAAGTCACGAAAGCGGGCCGGCAACTTCCGCGACGAAATGACAAACGTACTGCAATGCACCAACATATTTTTACATCCTGCGCTGTGGTCGTGAGTTACATAACGAGCCACGATAACTCACCCGCGATTCCTCCAAGAAACAAATACAAACGCCATTTCTTCTATACCATTTATTTCTTTTTACTTATTGAAAGAATCTACTACATACTGTTATAGTGAATACACTCAAAGTCGGCGAGTTATTTCATAATACAGAGTGTGCCAAAAAATGTGTACACACTTCAAGCAAAAAAAAAAAGTCTTAACATAGAGATGAATTCACAAAAACAGAAAGTAATGAGGAGTAATCGTCTTAAGACTTTTGCAGGTAAAACAGATGCTCCAAATTTCCACTATCGGCGTCGATACACTTCTGAGTGGTTGATACCCAGATTCCTAGTTTGGCGATTTTATTGCAAGTGTTACTTGCAATAAAACTCATAGTATACACTTCTCGTTGCACCAGCTTAACTTTTTCAATCCCATTATGAAGAAACAAAATATTTAAGATAAAACATTATAAAAGGTGACATCAGAAGACTTCAAAAACAGTTTTTAACGTTTTCCGCACATTGGCTATATTTTTTATGAAATGTTGCCATATGGCTTCAGTGAGCACATAGGAAACGATATATTATATTCTTTGAGAAATAATTACAGTAAAACTAGCTTTTTTAGCTAAGTCAAATAAAAAAGCAACTCTTCGGGTATGTAATATATACCCACAAACAACCTTTACCCTAAACATTTAGTCATTGAAAATCCACCTGGCAATGTTTACCATGACATTTTGCATTTTGCAAACACCAATTCTGTATTTTTAGATTCTCTTTCGCTAGGTCGAAAATAGATGTAAACAAATTTTTCAATCTTTGAATTTATTTATATTCGTTTTGTTCTGAAACATTGATGTACTTTTTTGTTTTTTTGAAAACAAAACCCTTTGTTTATGTAGTTTGTCATTGTACTTTAGATACTTTTATTATTTTCATTCGGCATCTGTACAGAATTCAACAGTATTTTTCTAGTAATTACAGCTTTATCATCTTGAATGGAAAACAGTACTGATGTGTTACTCGTTGCTATATCAAATAAGATACCAAGTTGTTAGTTCTAGGTAGTAAGATATTTTTACAATTATACATTTATTCATGATTTTATTATAGTAAAAAAAACAACAACAAAAAACAAGTCTTTGCGTATAGAAGGTTATATAAACCTAATTTGAAGAAGTTACGATAGATATGAATGAATTTATAGGTTATATATACTCTATGTGCCATAGTAGCCATATGCTAACAACTCATTTCTCATTCAAATTTCTTCAAAACTTTTACAT